ACCTGAATTTTCACTCACCGCCAAATCCAGTTTTTAGTGCGTAAATCCAAATCTTCGCTTTTTATCTCACAGTCTTATGTACTTGTATAAGGGATGTGTTTTCTAAATAACTATTCATGTCGCACCTTGATACCTCCTAGGTTAATTTAGCTTTTCACCTTAATTTTCACTCACCCCAATTGCAGTTTACGTTTCCCGATAATATAACAAAGAAACGATTCTTATTCTTTTTTTTTATATCTTCTCTCTATGTAGGCACCACTGCAAGCAAGATTTTTCAGTCCCGACGATTTATTAGCTTCGTCCTGCATGCCAGACATAAGTAAGAGTTTCTAGACACTGCCTTTTTATGAATTCCGGAAACTGAAAATAAGAAACTGTAGTCGGGTCGTTGCTTTTTAGGTGGTGTGAGAAGATGGCACAGAATCACGTTGATGTTGATACGCTACTCGAGGATTATGCATGGCGACATTTTAAGGATATTCAAAGTTTACGAAAAACACGGCTTGATGATTTCAAGAATCTGGAAAAAGAAGACGTGGAGTTCGTTTTGGTAAGTGCTTAGCTCTCAGGTCCACTAAACTCGTTAATTCCAGCACTCGCAATACGGCGCAGCGCTCTGAGGGAGTAATTTCCCCGTTTCCTCATTTACCTCATTATGCAGCGAGTAGCAGCTTGTTATCCTTAACTTGATACCATCACTCCTAAAATATTTTCATAATTTGCTGACCTTTTTAATTACCTGATTCGACCCTACTTTTGTTTCTTTTGTTTTTCCTTTTTCAGTTGTTTCCTGTAAAAAACATATGCATCTGCGTTTTTCTTTCGCCTTTCTGCGAGATATGAGGTTCAAACCCATGCACACTGATGTAGACGAAGGGCAGGAAGACAAACGAAATAAGAGAATGTGGTAGGAGTGATAGGGAGCAAAAAAGATTAGAACCGATGTCTCCCCAGCGTTTCAAAGTCCAGAAGGTATGAAGGCACCTGGGATATCCCTTAAGAAAGAATATTATTTAGCCAGCAGCAAAAACGGCTCTTTCGCAAGAAACTTGATTTTTCCAAAAATAATAAAATTTAAGAAACGAGTTACAAGTCCTTTGAAAGATGTAGATCACGAGTTGCAGGTCATTTGGAGTCCCAGGTCACTTGCCCACTTGGTACCACACATATGTGTAATTGGAGCATGGAATGTGTAAATTTATGCCAGCAAATAAGGAAACACATAAGACAAGTAGTTGAAAGCTTGTGTTCTCCTTTAATCGAGACGGCAGGTGCTGTTATCGGCATCGGTGATGCTTATCTCACACAGCTGTTCATTTTTTTCCTCCTCCTCAGAGCATTTCTTTGTCCATCTCATCCTTTCAATTTTCAGTAATTTCAACCTTCGAGAAAATTTTTTACCAAACTTGGTAGAAAACGTCGGGTTGGAAAGTGTCGTAATAAATCATCGATTTTTTAACACGAAAATTATACCAAATTATCACATTATTTGCATGCTTAGTACTAAAAAAACGGGTAATTAAATTTTTGTTTGTCAAGAAATAAGCACCGTTTCAGTATTTTTTAAAATGCCATCATAGTCTTTTCAACATAATTCTGCAATTACTGATAGTGCTTTTTTGCTTGAAAATCGGCTTTAAAAAAAATTTTTTTAAAAGTATTGGTGAAAATTCTGAGAAAATTTGTTCTTTCAGAAATAACACGGGAATTAAATTGAGCTCTACTGTTCAAATATAGGCTTCCGACATCATGTCCTTCTTTCAGCGTTCATTTTCTGCTCCCTGAGTCGGAGTTGATTGAA